AAAAAGAAGAGAGATTTCTTGCTGTTTCTTAGGGTAGGAGTAAAGTCTTCATTTTTTTTTAGCTTATCTATAATTTTCTTCTTACATTGCTTTTATTGAATGGAACACGAAATTTTGAAGACAAAGCAGTTATTATAAGTGCTACATACTTTAAGCAAAAAAGTGTCTGTGTCCACCAGGGTCCACTGGACATGCGTATGGTAACTGTAACATTTAAAAAGAGAAAAAAAAAAAAAAAAACATTTTTTTATTTCTTTGTCTTTTTTTTTTTTTTGCTTTTTCTTTTAATGTTGATTAAAAGTTATATCTTGATACTTTGTCGAATTTCAAATGTTCTTGATGAGGCTAAGCACAATGATTAATCAAATGAAACAAATTAAAAATAAAAATAAAAAGAATAATTTCAAAACAAAAATCAAATTAAACAAAAAAATTTAATTAAACTTAAACACTGATGTTCAGTGCTGTACCTACAGCATATTAATAAATAAAAACAATGCAGGTATTAAGATACATTAAAAATGGCGTAGTTTTTTAAGTTTGAATATCGCTTAAAAACTTATCCTTGTTCGCCACTATGATTTTATAGTAATTACATTTTTTCAAACTTTGGCCAGTTAATTGGCATTTAAAAATCATAATTTTTTTTTTTTTTTATTTTTTAGAGACTCTTTTCTCTCTTTTTCATTTACACCCAGCTACAAATGCAAATTTAGATATGTGTTATTTCAGTGAAAACATCACTTTAATGAAGTAAACTGAAACTCTTGATGGATAAATATGTGAAAACACAATCCGGTTTCTGGAACGGAAAACGCTATCGTGAGGTTAAATGTCACAGAATTAAACCAGGACCCCGTTTTTTTTTCGTTCTACACACAAAGCATTCACTTGACTTACTTTTGTTACTGAATCAACAAGCACTGACACGGTGTAACAACGTTAAGTTGTCAGACAGATACTTAGTGTTTATAAAATAAATAATCTTTCCTTATACAGGCGTCTATTCTTGTTTGCGTCGGCTACTGTCAGCCATGTATTTTTTTTTATATGATTTTAGTGCGTGAGTTAATGGTCAATCAGGATTGGCGTTTATTTTGCTCTTCAGAGAACATACGACGCTTATGTAGGAATCACTTACGATTTACACATTTTTCTCATTACTATCAATCCAGTCGGCCAGGGAACAGGATCTGCAAATCGCGGTAGTTATAATATGTCGGACCGTAATGGGTAAGGATTGTTTACCTACTTTTTGATAAACGATCAAAAGTATCAAGTTAATTAAGGTAGAATATGTATAGAACGAGTTTTTGTTTCATTAAAAAATCTTAGGCTGGTAAAACTCAGAGGATACGTCAACTGCCCGAAACCAACGTGGTTAAAAACCCGGGTAGGGTCGGAAGACCACGGAAAACGGAGGCTAAGAAGAAACCCAGCACCACCAAAGACCAAGTTCCGATCAATCCTCAACCTACGCAGCAAATTATCCCTCAGATTCAAGTTAAACCCATGATCACAGCAAAATGCTTTATTTTTTTAGAGCATACTGTTTTCTTATCGAGGAATTTGACCAGGTGAGTGTATTTCAGTAGAATATAATATATAGACTAAGTATTGTTTGATTGTTGTTTGCAATTTCGCTACCGTTTTAGCGTGCATCGTATCTTATAATTTTAATTCTGTTATCATCTACTGTGTGTACAGAATTAAAACCAACTGTGAAATTCGAATCAACATCGCGTAAATTATTGTACTACGAGCCCTAGACAACTAATGTGACACGAGTCTTTGTTTGCTAAAAAATAGTAAATTTTGTTAAACGGGCTCAATTTATTTTGTTTATTGTATATTTTTTTTTTTTTTTTTTTTTTTTTTTTTAAATTTTACTATAATTCTTTGTATAACTTTGCAAACAAATCTACTTTTGATGATATAGCTTATTTTGCCAAAATCCCAAAATTTCCATACAGTTGCCCCCGCAATATTGCTTCATTTTATGCCACACAGTTTTTATAACATTGAGGTCCGGACTACTTGCAGGTTGGGATAGAACTTTATATTATTATTACCGAAAAATTTTTAGTTGATTGCTGAATTGGCACAAGGCTCCGAGTCTTCGTTGGAAATACTAGTCTTTGTTTGGACAATTCCTTAGCACCAGACAATAAGTGGAGTTCCATAGTATATGGTTTGGTATTTTTGGGCGTTAACAGCGCCATCTATAAAATTTAATTTGCCCAAACCTCCTGCTGACATGCAACCCCAAAACATAATCCCCTTAGGAATTTAACAACCTCTTTAAGCAATCTTCATGAAAGGCTTCTGCTTTATATTCGTATTATTCGTTTTCGATGATTTCCAAAACAAACATCAAATAACTCCATCGCTATAATTATGACTCACATAGTTGATCATTTTTTCCAACAATAATTTAGATTTTGCCCAATAGTAGCGATTTTTCTTTTGAACTTCTCCTGTCAGCTCAGCGGGTTTTTCTTTGGCTAAATAAAGAAATTTGTACAATAATCTTTAGGTAATTGATTATCCACCCAAAATAAAGTTTACCTTGTAAAATTAGACCGCCGCATTTTCTTGGTATATTTTTCGGACAACATTCCCTTGAATATTACCAACCAGTTACAGTATCCATTAACGTGTGTACCTTGTCGGCGAAGAGGTACTTCTTCTCGCAACTTGCAAATTTTTATAATTTCGTAAATCTCTTTGAGATACAACTTTTGGCCTTCCCGAATGTTTACCTCTAACGCCTACATTGGCAGATTCGCGTATTTGTTATTATAATAAAGACCCGTGGTTTTTGGACTCACTTACATCATCAAGAATTTTCCGAATCTGTTTTTCCGTATCTTACTGTATTGACGAATTATAATTTAGCGTAGTTTTTGATTTGTAGGTTTTCCACGGACCATGACGTTGAATTAAATAATTAAAAATTGAAATTAAAAAAAATAAAATTACTTACAGTATAATCTCACTACCCAAAGTAATCGAAGTCCAGACTTACAAGCAGTGTCAATGCTGAAGTAACCAGTTTGCGACATTTGTGTCGTTTATAGCAAAGCTGTCCTAATGAAAGAATACTACTATTAAAATACTTGCCCAACATTTTAGTTGTCACAAATATGTCTTTTCGAAAGCAAAATCCTAATCATGTAAATATGGAATTGATCTTACAAATTCAATAAAATATTTTTTTTTTTTTCATTTAAAATGTATATTGAAGTAGTATGTTAAAAATTAACATATGATTTTTCAGTCAATCTTGAAAACCAGGGCAATAATTCCAATATATTACCTTGTCCCAATATATAGTTGTTAGGGCTCGTAGATTAGCAACGTCTGGAAAATAAGTATTTTAAGAAAGCTGGCTCTTTGATATATCTTTAACTATGCTCTCTGGAACAGCGGGCAGGCCGTCTGGCTGCCGATAGACGTTGCGTTTACTACTGCGCATTGAAAGAAATTCCTATATTTAGTCTTTTAAATTCTAGTATGGAATATAAAACCGAACACGTCTCCATAGCATGGCGCCGAAAACGTTCCGCCTATAAAGCGAGAAGTCCCGAGTTCAATACTGGCTCGGGGTAAACTTTTTCTTATTTTATTTTATTATCGAGCCGTTATTGAACTCGGGACTTCTCGCTTTATAGGCGGAACGTTTTCGGCGCCGAGCTATGTTTAGACTTGTTTAACTTATATGCAATACTACAATTTAACGGACTAAATACAAAATATATAGGATCTTCTTCCAATGCGCAGTAGTGAACGCAACGTCTATCGGCAGCCAGACGACTCGCACGCTGTTCCAGAGAACATAGCAAAAGCTATATTAGAGAGCCAGCTTTCTTAAAATAGTTTCTCGAAAACGTTGCTAGCTCTTAGACTATTAGGTCGGGGTAGAATTTCTTAGATCATTTTCTAAATAAAATGTTTAATTATGTACGAAAAATTAACATAAATTGTGAGCTGGCACAGTGTTAGAATAAAAAAAAATATATTAAAAGCACTTTTTTGAGAATAAACTGATAAGCCGTTGTTTTTTTAAACTATTTTTTTCCAGTTACGAGGATAAAATGCGAAATTACTTTTGCGGATATGTCTGAAACCGGGGGATTTGATGTTTCTAAATTCTTCTACCGTATTTGACGACATTTTATTTTCTCAGGTGCGCAAAGTGAGGGACAGATCTCAGAGTTTATCCTCTAGCACAGTCTCCAGACAACAAACAGCTACACCGACCGATACCAGCGCCTTTATGAACCAACTAAACGCACTACAGAAACCAAGAAACATGAAGACGAGGAGGATAGCCCAGGCGGAAGACGACCCAGAACTTAACAAGAACATTAAGCTGGCCGCCATTCTCAAGGATATCTTGAAGGTCATTACCACCGCTAAAGGTAAGCAAAACTATTGTAGCTTGAGTCTAGTCTTTATATTCTGTATATATTTTTTTTCTATTAGACGACAAGGATAATCTCCTCAGCACAAACTTGATGCAGCTTCCGTCCAAGAGAAAAGTTGCTGAATTTTACCAGCGGGTTAGCGATCCTATAGATCTGAGTACCATTGAGCAAAATATCGCTACGGGGGTTTACAGAACTGCTCAGGCCTTCGACGAGGATATGAATAAGTTATTTACAGGTAAATGTTATCCCAAAATGAAATATATTTTGTATGCAGATCTTTTATCCAATGAATAACTAATGTAACAATCATTTTTTGTCCATATTAGTATGATTTTTGGACTAATTTATTTCTTAAAAATGGTATATATAATATGTTACAGTAAAAGTTGGAAATCAGTGGTTATTAACAATTACTAGTAAAAGCTAACATTCACTGATTTTCTAAGACTACATCAGTAAAAGTTCAACAACTATTTTTGAAACCAAAGTTTACTAGCACTCTCTGGACGATAGCAGTGAATCTGAAATATTCAGTTAGCGCGGTTGACACATATTGTAAAATATAATGATAAATAAGGATTACTTGAATAATAGACAATAACACATTAACTTGGGTTAAAAGTTGGCAACGTTGACAGACATCTGGCGTAAACTCGTTTTGTTTTTTGTGGTTATGTATAATTGTTTTGTTATCGTTGTAAAAAGTGCTGTGTGGTGTTTTCCGTATGGAAGAAATTTTCTGTGAAAAATTAAGGTAAACTAGGCACTCGGAAGAATGTAATAGTGCTTGTTCTTCATTTTTGCAATATAATGAAGTCATAGCAAAAGTTAAGTGTCCAAGACAAGAATATATTAAGAAACCTAGTAACTATGAATTTATTAAACGTTTTGATATGCTTGAAGTAGCGGGTTTGAAAAAACGAATAACTCCCGTTGAAGAAAATTCAGGCATACTTTATTTTGTCCACGATGAAGAACTTTATTAAAAAAAACCTTGTAACAATAAGTAATCTTATGTTTATGAATGTTTTTTTTTTAATTGTTTTGTACGCTTTAAATGTTTACTACGTTTTCTCTTTTAATATTTAGAAGGTCATGTCATGTTATTTTTTATAATTTTTGATAAATATATTAAAGAAACAAATTGTAGTTGCAAGATATGTGGATCAGCTTGAATATTGAGGTGATCCAATATTCTTAAAACTTTTATTTCTTCTAACTTCCACCAACATTCTTCCTCGCCAAGTTATAGCAAAAGTTAAGCATGCAAGAGAAAAAAGATCTTAGGGAACCTAGTCACTATGAACTTATTAAACGTTTTGATATGGTTAAAGTAGCGGGTTTGAACAACGAATAACTCCCGTTGAAGAAAATTCGTACTTTATTTTGTCAACAATGAAGGACTTATTAAAAAACCTTGTACCAATACATAAGTAATCTTATGTTTATCAATGTTTTTTTTTCTAAATTGTTTTGTACGCTCTAAAATGCTTACTGTTTTTCCTTTTAATAGTTAGAAGGTTATAATATGTCGTTATTTTCTATAATATTTAATAAATATACTAAAGAAGTAAATTATAATTTTAAGATATGTGGATCAGCTTGAATATTGAGATGATATTAAAAATATATCCAATATTCTTAAATGTTTTATTTGTTCTAACTTCCACCAACATTCTTGCTCACCACACTCGCCCTGTACAGTAGAATAACTTTTACTGACAACCTTTAGTAAATGTTACTTTCACTATATAGTGAATGTTAGAAATTGCTAAGAACAGTCGACAAATCTCTTTAAAATACCACATTCACTGGTCCAAGACGTAATTGCTAGCATTTCCTAGTGAATGTTAAAAATCACTGGATTTCCTACTTTCGCTGTAACATATACATAAGAAAGACGATTGATCAAGTCATTGTCAAAGACTGAGACGATAAGATAATAATTGAATGTCACTGATATGTTTTCAACAAGAATGAAACGAATTTACTACTAACACATGTTCATAAAATTGATAAAAAACATATTAACAATAATTGTTAATATATTTATTGGTTTCTTTTGGAAGGATTTTCTAAGTTCTATGATCGTACTACCGACACTGGCATCGCCACTACTAAACTGAAGAAGATCTACGTCGAGACCAAACAACAAAGCCTAGCTAAGTTCGAGGATGTTCTGGGTGAAAAACCGCCACCAGCATTTGTTAACAACAAAAAGAAAAGTAAGCTTGAGTAATTAAAGTAATATATTCTCTGTTTAATATGGCAATTTACTGAGTTCCTAATTATTTCTTAAAACTCCCTATCTTTAGGTTAATAATTTAGATAAATTTTATATGCCTGCAGTAATTAAACACAGCATTCTAAGAAAAAATGTTAACAATCTAAATTCAACTAGTAAATTTGCTGAGATAAAGTGCTAAGTCTTGTTATAAGTCTCAAAAATTCGCCACTTAAATTATATACATAAAACAATTCTGTACCTGATTATATCATCATATTAATTATCTTAGATGAGGAGGAAGATATAATCCGTTGTATCTGCGGGATTCCCAGAGATGAGGGCTTAATGATTCAATGTGAAAGGTGTATGGTGTGGCAACATATCGAATGTGTCAAAGCTGACGCATCTGTGGCGAGCTACCATTGCGAAATATGCGTCCCCAGGCAGGTGGACTACGAGATACCAATGGACGAATTTACGGAGCATGGCCACAGGTAAAATTGTTATAAAAAATCGAGGGGTGTCTCACTTGTGTAAAAAATGTACATGTACTGGCAGTGACTGTGAAGAAGTCTGCCTATGTCTGCCAAATGATTATAATCGACTGCTAAGAAAATGTACATGTAATTTCTACAGTGAATCACTCCTGGTAAAAAATAAACTTTTTAACGTAAAAAAATGTTAACCCCTGAATTCTATTACAAATTTACAAATCTATTCTTTACTTGACAGGTACTACATGACACTGATGAGAGGTGACTTGCAACTACGTCAAGGTGACACTGTCTATGTACTCAGAGATATACCCATACCGGGTACCGATAAGAAACACACGTACGACACCATCGGCAAGATAGAATACTCGGAACTGGACATTTTCCGAGTAGAGAGGCTGTGGAAGGACAAGGACAGTGGGAGGAGGTTTGCTTATGGTCATCACTATCTCAGGCCGCACGAGACCTTCCACGAACCAACAAGAAAGTAAGTAGAATCGTTAAAACCATATTAAATAGTCACCCTGTCTAGTTTTATGAAATTTTGGCTACAACTAGTTACATAAAACTGACGTGATGATTTTAAAATTTCAGGTTCTTTCCAAACGAGGTTATGCGCGTACCTCTCTACGAAGCAGTACCGGTAGAACTAGTAATGGAGCACTGCTGGGTCATGGACATTAACACGTTCTGTAAAGGAAGACCCATAGGTTCACAAGAACAGCACGTGTATATCTGCGAATACCGTGTGGATAAAGGGGCCAAAATGTTCAGTAAAACATCTAAAAGCAAGGTAAATATATATTTTTTATTTATCTATATTTCTTATTCTTATATTAGCTTTGTTCGGGTTCTTATTATTACCGATTCTGAACTGTCCTAGAACTCTGCCGCGCATGCGCTAATGAAATAAGTTCTCCGTATTTTCTTCTGCGCATGCGTATCGCAGTTCTAGGGCGGTTCAGAATCGGTAATAAGAAAAACCCGAAGTAAGCTAATATAATAAATGAAAACAATGTGCACTAGGTATACCACTGAATAAATAGGCTAAGGATAATAGGCTATACCATCAAAGGAAAATTTGTATATTCTAATTATTTTTGAAAAGTTATAACTAGGAGGAGCCAATATTTGGACAGTTCAAAATTTGCATGGGATTTTTCTCTGCAACATGTTTCTCTTGCGACGATGTACCACCCGGTATAGTAGATAGAAGATCCACAATAATCTTTCTGTAATTCAAGTTCAGACAAAAAATCTTTTCAGATTTATACACTTTGCATGGCTTTTAGTAAACGATCAATCCATTTGTCTTTCAGTTTCCGATTTGTACTAAGAGTTTCGCATTTGAACCTTTCGAAACTCGTCTGAAGATATCACGGACGTACTGTCCGCACGATGTCGACGCTACTCTCATGAAGAACTACGTGGGTCGCAAGAAGGACGACAAAGACAAGGGCACGTCGAAAGAGTCATCGCATTTGGGTATGATACATTCGCAGCCTAACCCACCAATCCAAAGGGTAAGTTATGTACTTTAACGTATATTAGTTTATCTCTCTCACTATCTTTTAAGTCCCGTCGACACAACGTTTTATCATACGGCAGCTTGATTTTCATGCGTTATCCGTTGATACGACGGCGCTCTTATTGGTCAGAGTGTTTTCGCGCCACTTTTCATCCGTAAATTTTTTACTCCGGCCCGTCAACGGAGAAAGATCGTACGATAACGGACGTTTTGCCACTTTTTTGTCAAATTTAATCTAACCTTAATAAAAATATAATAGTATAAGAGCTTGCACTGTCGGGAATTTTAAGAAAGCTGGTTCTTAAATATATCTTTTGCTATTCTCTCCTGGCCAAAATGCGGGCCGTCTAGCTGCCTGTAGACTACTGCGGTTCACTACTGCGCATCACATCTGTACAGGGTATCCCATCTTCGTGTGTTTTTTGGGATTTCTTGTTTATAAGTAGAGATACAATGATGCGATTTTCGCATTTCTTTGCTACTTATGAAACTAAATATGCTACACATAAGTTTGTCCTAAACTCCTTACACTTTCTGAAATACAGGGCGAATTTGTGATGCGCAGTAGTGAACAGATGTTGAATACAGATATGATGCGCAGTAGTGAACGCAACGTCTACCGGCGCGGCAGCCAGACGGTCCGCACTCTGTTCAGGAGAGCATAGCAAAATATATATTAAAGAACCAGCTTTCTTAACATTTTCTCTCGAAAAGGTTGCTAGCTCTTAGACTATAAGTAAAACAGCGAAATCGTTATGGAAATGAAAATATCTACACCAATCACAAGCAAATCGTATATCCGATAAACGGAGGCATGAAAATCAATACATTTAAAAACTGCGTTATTTTCTATCCAATCGAAGTCTTTAAATTCAAGCAATAAAATTTATATTGTATCATCGGATAACGGATGCATGGAAATCAAGCTTTACCCCTTGTCATACCTGGTCAGTCAAAACGTGTCAAGTAAAACCTTGTTTGTATCGAAAAAACGGTCGGATTTACTTGAACTGAATTAAGACAGAAGATTTTCTAGAGAACTGACAGTTCACAGTTTTACAACGGAACTGTCATTTTGCCTACACTCATAAAAATATAAGTAAATTTACAAAAATAGTATGGACACAGCACACAGCATCTTAATAAGGTGACTTCTAAAAATCTACTCCTCATATTTTTGCATAGTTTCACAAAATAATGTGATTTTAAAAAATTGTTTAAAGATGTTTAATGATTATTACCAAACGATAGGATTTTCGCAAATAGCTTTGCGTGTTTACAATTGATATTTAAACCATAATAGTTATTTACAGTAGAAGTGTGTTTATGAACATGATTACAACAACGAGTGTGAACGATTAGAACGACGAGGTCGTAGACCGAGTCGTTCTAATCACACGAGTGTTGTAATCATGTTTAAACGCACGTGTCATGTATAACGTTTTATCTACAAACGAAAAATAAGAAAATGCTGTTTTAATTTTCGTTTATTAGTCGCCCACCTTTAACTATGACATTTGTCAAATTTTTTTCTGAAAAGTCAGTTTGCCCTGTCAAGTAAACGCGAGCACTTTTTGCCCAGAAAAATCATTTTAAAAATTACGATGAGCGATTCCGAAAGTCTCCCTTCAGATATAGAAGTTCCCGCAGTACGTGCCACGGAATCATTATTGCTGGAAAAGTTAATATATTTAGATGTTCGTAGTTGTTTTTCATTATTATAACAACTAGTTGTGTTATAGATTCATAACACCACTAGTTGTGTTATGAGTCTCATAACGTAACTGAAATACTAAAAAAATAGTGATGTAAAAACGTTGTAACTAAACGGTTGTAGATAAATACAATTTTGACGCAAAATTCCATGTTTTTATTTTCAACTACGTGCTATGTTATAATAAAACCGCAAGTAAAAAGTTATGGTAATCGCAAAATAATTTCCGATGCACGTGATCAACTTTGAGTGACAAGTTATGGCGACAGCGCTGCCAGATTGTGATGGATTTATGAGATGAATCTTTGTGATGAATTTAAAAGTGACAAACAATATATTTATTATATCATTTTTTAAAGATTTTTGCGTTTTATTTTTAATTTAATAACTAATATTTTAGTAATTAATTGATTTATTCGATTTATTTTACTTATTACATATTGGCAAAAACTAGTCCATTATGAAGATTATTCTAAGCGTTATTATGGGTAATTTATTTATTTATTGATGTACAATATTACAACGCCATAAGGGGGTATTAACAAGTAAGAGGGTGCTATTAATGCACAAACTAATCACAGAATTTAATAAAAACTAACATAGAAATAACTTTGAAAGTGGTGTAATGTGCTTATCAGTCAAACTTACTTCTCTGACTGCAGTCAAGGGTAATAAAGGACCTTTATTGTCACGTTCTCATTCAAAATAGTTTATCAGGGAAGCTACAAACTCTTTGCTTCAACTGTTTAAATGCTTCGGCATATTTTCAACACACAAATTCAATAAATGCAATACAAAAACTCGAAAATTTAGTTCTTAAAAGAACTGTTTGTGCTTTTAAAGTACAATTTTTAAAAAGAGACTACGAAAATAGGCAAAAAAAACGAGAATTACTCATAAAGATTCGACAACACGATATTATACAAAATAATGACTGACATTAGGATAATTGTCAAATAATAAACGACAACCCTGCTGAAAACGGCGCAATGTGACCAACATAGCGATAGTAAAATTCGGTTTATTAGCTAATTTTTGCAGCTAATCTAAATAAAATATCTGTTACAATCATTTGCTCTATAAAGTCAAATTAAGAGCTGCTCGGTATCTTAAATTATACAACAAATTTAAACAATTTTGTAAAAATTTCATTTAGTCAGGTTTATAGACTTTAGTGTCAATGTCAATATGATTGATGGCGTGCATCGGAAAATGTTTTGCGATTACAATATGTATAGACGGACGAATTTTAGCCGGTCTTCCGTTTTCCTTGACACGCAAAACTGACAGGTAAAACCTTAAATGTAAACGAGGCTTTACGTTAATGTCCAGGTAACCGATTTACCAGGTCTGTATTACAATTTTCATTGTTTCAGACTCCAGCTGAACAAAAAACTCGACTCAACAAAATCTTATTGAACCTTTTAAGCAAAATGCCAACGAAACAGGTACTGGACGTGTCTTACTTATTGGAAGGGGGCAGAAGGAGGAAAAAACAGGATGCGAAGTAGTGATGATAAGCCTGGTTATCGGTGAGAATCCCTAAATCACTAAAATCTATTTATTCTGACAATTATTTGTTTGAGGGACATATTATATGGATAAAAATTTGACATAAGATCAAAAAAAGTAACAAATTTAAATGATTTAGGGGTTTTGCACCGCAGGAACAATAATTAGATATATTTGGGTGATATTTTGAAGATATTTCTTCAGCAAGAAGAAAAAAATAGTATTTTTATCAAGTGTTGTTAAGGTCGAACGCGAAGTGAGATGTTAGTAAAAGGTTTATCAAGTTTAGTTGTTTTCAAATTATTGTAAAGGACTTCTTGCTTTTTTAAAAGGAAAAAAAATAGTCTCTGAAACTCGTTGTTCATATTGCATTATTATTTTTTTGATGTGTATTTTTATATGTTTTTTTATTTCAATTTTAACAGTGCCCAGTGAATTGTTAGTGTCATAAGTTGATAAAGAAACTAATATAAAAAGTATTTAATTCTATATTGTCTAAAAAAGATTATTATTAAACAATTAAAATATGATCTTAGATCATTATAGTAGGTCTATAGACACAAGTATTTTGTGAGTAAATTTTGTCATTTTCTTTTCTAAAAAACACCAAGCTGAACTGAAGCTTTTTATATTCTGTTACTCAGTATACAGCATGATCGATAAAATAAACGGCGTTAAGTTGCCTTGGAAATGACAATTGATGACATTGTTCAAATAAAATGACAGCGATCTTCATTTCCAAGCCACCTCTGACGCCGTTCAGGCGAGTCTAACAATTATGCCTTTCAAAAAATCTGAGAAACAAGTACAGACTTAATAAAAATACAAATCGCTGAAAATATTCGAGATTGTAAAGTTTTCTCAAAAGAAAAATATTTGTGAGACAGAATCTCCAATTATTTAACTGTATCTGTATTGTTTTCACGTTATTATACAATGTATGCCAAAAAGTTTATGCAGAAAAAAATCAGCATATTTAAAGTCGATTTTTTTTAAAAAATATTTTTTTGAAACTTGTATTTTTTTATTCTCTGTGCATGTTTAAAAATTCTGAAGAACTCTTTTTGTCATTTTCACTCAGAATAGAAAATGCTATTTTTTTCAAACATTCACAAGTAATTTTTTAAACATTTCAAAAGTTGCAAATAAGATTTAAAAGTAATACCTAACTAATATATATCGAGAAACTATGGCTACACTCTTTGAATTTGGCACTTTATGTCAGTTTAATAATATGTTTTCGTATTTTTATGCTTAGACTTTTTTATATTGTCAATCACATCGCAAAAATTAATACCTTTGTTAAGTTTGAAAAAAAAATGCTTTGGTTATGGTTGACAGATAAGCAGTTGTCTACCGATTGGTTGAAAACTGACGTTTAAACCATTGTTTATCTGTCTAAGATCCTAACTTTACCAACGCGACAGATAAGGGGTTCTTCGTTCAACACGGCAGTATATTCCCAATTTTTCATATTAGGTAAAAAAATAAAGATATTTTTTATGTTAATATGAACAACGATTTTCAACTGAAGAAATAGCTAGTCAGTATTGTTAATTATGAGGCTTTCTCTCGATCGTTTTTATTTATTTGTAAATATATAATCGACAAAAAATGTTGTTGCAGTTATAATATAAATAACTAATCCATTGGTTCAGGTGTTTTTTTATTAATTTATGACGGATTTTCCTGTTATAATATCTGAATTTGTTGCATCGTATATTATATGTTAGTTAACGCTGCATTTTACAAAGCAGAGGTACAAAACTTTTTACATTTGTCTTTTTAAAACGCTATTTATTGAACACGTTAATTTTTATTATTCTACACTAATACTCGTTTGTGTGTGTAAATATATATTTTTGCGTAAGGTTTTTTTAATTATTTATTTTCTTTATTTTGTAAATTATTGAAAAAATTGATCTTGCCTGTTTAGAAAGTAAGGTTAGATTATTCTCACATTAATATTGTATTGATAATATTATTAATGTTTATATCTCACATTAAAGAAATATTGTTATATTTTCTAGAAAGAGTTGTTTTATTCCCTTTTTCTTCCCTATACGTAGTGTGTCTTAAATAAGTGTGCAATCATTTTTAAAAAAATGACGTCAGCGCGATGATTATGAAATGAAGATCGCTGTCATTTTATATGTAAATGTATATGGGAAATGTCATCGATCGTCATTTCCCAACCAAATGGACGCCGATTTTATGGAAAGCACTGTTCCTGTCTCACAATGTACCGTTTGTGTCCGGGAAGGGTTCATAGTTTCATAGTTGTCGATTTTCGAAAGAAATCAGTACATGTATATTATTTCGTATATTTTTCATTTTATTGATTTTATGGACAGCACTGTTCATTAAAATGTTGTATCCTATGTTATAGGACTTGTTTCTCTCTACAATTTCCTGTCTCACAATGTATCGTTTGTATCCGGGAAGGGTTCATAGTTTCATAGTTGTCGATTTTCGAAAGAAATCAGTACATGTATATTATTTCGTATATTTTTCATTTTATTGATTTTATGGAAAACACTGTTCATTATAATGTTGTATCCTATGTTATAGGGCTCGTTTCTCTCTACAATTTCCTGTCTCACAATGTACCGTTTGTGTCCGGGAAGGGTTCATAGTTTCATAGTTGTCGATTTTCGAAACAAATCAGTACATATATATTATTTCGTATATTTTTCATTTTATTGGTTTTATGGAAAGCATGTCTGACGAACCTCCAACAGACTATATAGTAACAGGAGCCCTAGATGATTTAGTCAAGGTCTGGGAGCTGCACGACGATAAATTGGATCTTAAGTACAACCTAGAAGGGCATTCATTAGGTGTGGTATCAGTTGCCATGAGTCACAATGGAAAATATAAGTATTTAGGTCTATACACAGATAAAGTTTTGTTTAATATTATTACTTTTAGTGTGTTGCTCGAGCTCATTAGATTCGTCAATGAGAATATGGGACAATTAGCTATTATTAGCAGCCTCTGACGATGGGCATATGAAATTATATGATGTGTAAGTTAAAAATTAGTTAAAGTAGCCTTTGTAACTCGTTTTTATCTAATTTTTTTGACAGAAAACAGACCCATGTAATTGGAACGATATCTGCTCATGCCTCTTGGGTTTTAAATGTGGCACTTTCACCAGATGGAAAGTATTTTGTGTCTTCCAGTTCAGACAAGACGGTTAAAGTATAGGAGGTTCAAAGCCGACAGTGTATTCACACCTTTTTTTTTTTAAATATAATATTTTATTAAAAAAAAACTAAATTTTAAGGGATATAACCATTTTTAAATAAGATTTGTTTTTTAATAATGATTTTTTATCTAAAAAAACATTGCACGTTTGGGGTGTAAAATTCAGTTCCGGATAATTCGAAAATTTGATCAGTTTCAGAAGATAAAAGTATTGTAATATATAGTTGTCCTAAGTAATAAATGCTTTTTATTCTAATTTATACTTATTAATATATTTTTTCTTGTAAATAAAGGATTTTTCAGCTTAATTAAATTTCAAATTTGAAAATTGTGACGCCAAAAGTTGAACAGTACATCCGGTAAGAGCTGTCAACGTTGAGTCAAGTTAAAGACTTTTGAAATTATTTTTTATATAATTTATCTCATATTTCTTACTATTTAACTATATACAGAATTAGTTTCATATTAAACTAAGGGATATTTATTGAATAAAAACACTTGTTTCTTAATAATTTATTAAAATATTAAAGAAATGCATGATTTTATAGTTCATCTAATTATGTGCGTACCCAAAGAAAAATTACAATATTCTTTGGCGTACCAGATAATTTCAATATAAAATAAGTTTTGTATGATATTTTATACTGGAGGGAATAAATACAAATAAACACAAATCATTTAATTAATTTAAGAAGCATATTCTACTGAAATTTTAATAAAAACCATCCATGTTTATTAAAAAAAGTTGAAATCGAGGCATCCGAGAGCAAAAAATACACGATCGTGATTGGTCACTTTCGGTGGCGTGGAGGTTTTGAATTTTATTCTCGTTCGATGTTGCCGGATTGTTAAAAAATGTCGAAAATCTTTTTTTCTATGTGATTTTTGTGAAATTATATTAGTTTAAATTGATCACTAGCACTATAGTAAGGGCCATTTCTATATATATTTTTAATAAAACAAGTACCAGTAATGTTGTTTTGTAGAAATTTCTTTTATTTCTTCTTGTAATTATGTACTAACATTATAGTCTTTATTCTTGGTTTCGATGTACTTATAGCATTAAAAATGTATTTAAACAGCTTCATTTTATGTTTATTTTATGATTTTTGTGTGCTTATGTTTATAATTACTTATTTATTTTTTATTTATGACAATAAAAATATTTTACCTTACGTAAAAAAACGATTTCAGTGGAACGTATTGAGTAAATAATAACTTTTGAGAACGAAATTAAACTTAATTTACAAGAATTTTCCTATAAACAATTTTATTAGTAATAAATAAATAAATTTTATGAGCAGCTTAAATTTTACGAATGACTTCAATCTGGCAACGCCGATCATGCTTTGGTCGTTTGCAATCGAAGGATCCGCACGTCCTCCCGTCCGTTGCATCGATTTTTTTAAATTTTCTGACGAAAAAGTGCGTTTAGTGTACACAATTTATGCTTAATCTGTTACTAGTGCCCTGCTTAGCCTCCTTAAAAAGTGAGTACCCGTAATTTTATGTATTTTTTGAGATATTTTACTTCAAAATTTTTGGATTTCGCAATATCCATCATGGCAGCCTTCTTCTCAATGTTCCCCATTAACTTATTAATTTTTAAGAATATTGTTTAAATAATATACGTAGATTAATAAATAAGTATGTAAAACTATGTATTTTCGGTACTTTCGTACTTTCTATACTGCGTGTTACATAAGGGTAAAATAATAGTACTACATTTTTGGTAAATTACGTAATGTATCTTTGACTTTTTGTTTAATTTTTTCGGTCAAGGAATGTTTAAATAAAATGGCCGCCTGTTGGAATTCGATGTCTTGATTTTTTGTAAATTGCTATTTTTAATTTAAATTTCTTTTTATAGGGCATACTTAGAGTTTTCTTTATTTTTTAAAAATATAATATGCGCATTAATAATATTTTGAATGAGTAGGTTTTTTGTATTTAAGTTTTAAATAGGTAGGTTCATTTGGAATTTTATTACGTATTTTTTTATTTAAAATTCCTACATTTATGTTTCAGCATTTTTGTAATGATTTCTGATATTGGTATTTTAAAATATAATTCTGTTTTAAAGCGCGTTGTGTAATATTACATGTTAAAAAATAGTATTAATGTTGACAAACGATTTTTGCTAATTCAGTATTAGTTGTAAATTTGCATTGAAGAAATAAATCAATTGTTACTGAATTTTTATAAAAATTAAAATATTTCGAAAACAGTAAGTATGATTATTTTGAGGTAAATTTTGACCGAATGTTTTTTGTCTTTATAGTAGAAACTAAAAATGTAATAAAATATATAGGATGTCTCATTGTTAAAAAAAATATAACTTTAATATTTTTTATTTATTTGAAACACTGTAGGTTTAACTTTTAGCACTAAATAATATGTTACAACTCTAAAAACTCCTTGTGTATTTTTATTTTTTATGTGTTACATCATGGAAAAATTCTTTGGATTTTGACCATATTCATCAAATTTATATCCCTATAACATCTTTTTGACATTTTTGGTATAATAATCAAGGAAAAATCTTATAAAGTATTGCTGAGGTATAAATGGAGCATCTCTTTTTTCATTTAAAATAAATAATATACCTATTTATATATTGTCGTAATATTTTTATAGGTGTTCGATAATATTTTTATAGGTATCCCAATATTTTTTCTTTTTTTAGGCGCGTTATATTAATACTACAACACCACACACTCCTTTGCCACTCACACGAGCATTGCTAGCTCTCTGTGTTGGTTAATAAAATTTCCTAATTCAACATTAGTGAATTTCGTTAGCTGATGCAGTTGGTTAACAGTGTTTTTGTCGGTGTGGATTCCCGGGCTTAAGATGACTCCAGAGCGCGGCGCGGCCTTCCCCAAGAGAGGAGACTTCTTGGGTCACCCCTAACTCTGATGTTCGGGCATCGATGACCTGTGTAGCATGCAGAGGTACCCAAGGGAGTCACCACCCTCTGGTTTACGAGCTAGGTGTTCTAATGCTAGAGGCTTCGGCCGGATACAACTTGGCACCCAAGCTCCGAGACTTCTTCGTGCACGTATTCCGTGACCCTCGAAGAGGCAGGGGCGGGATATCGGACACATTGAAGATGATGAGGGGGTCCGCCTGTAGGGGGTCCCGGTGGATGTCCGTCCGACGGGTGACGAGGGTGACCCCAGACGAGGCGGCTTAATTGGGATGGGAACTGACTGGTGAGGCTTAATCGTCGACCAATGGGTCGAATCTGCATAAGGAAGGCAACCAGCACACACTCGCAGGCGGGTCGTGGAAACATTTTTTTTTCTCTTGGTCTGCCCCGCGTCGAATTTTGAAGGCAGAAAATGTCGGTAGGAGGCGAGCATAACCAGGCCTAACTTAAACCTGTTAAAAGTAAGTCTAATTTTTTTATATTACTTTCTTTAAATTTTAAACTTTTACTGTACTCTCTACCAAATAACTTTTTTATTGCACCATATAGCAGTCAAAATTCTTTTTATATAAGTGTTGTATATTTTAGTTTTTTTGTTACAACATACATGAGCTTCAATTTAAAGTAGAATAACTTGTATAGTAATTAGAGCAACTTTTTTAAAACTTATAGTAGATATAAATTTAAATTCTAATTTAACTTTGTAGTTACTTATATAACTAATTTATTTTTTCATTTTTTTAGGACAGCCCGGGTTCGCAGCGCGATTTTAAAAAACTAAGAAGTCAGAAATCTATCTACATGCTGCATATGATCAGTCCCAAAAAATTTCGGATTGTTCCAGGCACCGTCGAATACCTGGAAAACGTGTTGTGTATTGTCAACTCTACAGGATCGGCCGAAGTCCATGGAGTTGGGGGCATTCGATGTGCCCCATAGCAGTGAGACGCCACTGTTTTTTTCGCCGTACAATTATTATGGTGGGACTGAAAATGAACCTAAGCAAGATGTGATGGTGAGTTTTTATATTTTTACATTGTTTTTTTTTGTTGTCTATAGCTTTTTTTTGTTTCTTCTAGCATATGTATTTGTTAGAAATATTCTAATATTATTTTTTTTCTCTTACAGGTGATACAGTATGGCTTGGAGAACTTCAAAAGTCGGTTCGCGTCGTGGTTCCAAAGCAGTAACTTTAGGTTCCCTACATTTACAGAATGTTGCATTAAGTACTCATTTTTTAATTTGCAATTTTTATATTTCATTTTTACTTTTTTTCTTACTCTATACAAGGCTTTAATATAAGTATTTTAGCAATAATGGTAATAAAAAAATAACTCCAAAGAGACAAAATTAGGTAGCATATTGTTTTTCTATTTGGAAATATGTAACTATTTTTCGTCTTATTTTAAAATTGATAATATTATTTCATTTTTTTAATAGTGATTTTTAATTAAACGTAAATTAGTAAATGGTGTAATTTTACATTATAATGAGAATTAAAGTATTAGTAATTTATTTTTGTTACTAAAATTAAATTCAGCTGCTTTGGAATGAATTTGCTTATAAACTGCTTTGGAATGATTTTTTTTGGGGGGACAACAGCAGGATTAGGGCCATCTTCTAGATGCCATCAGGTAAATTTATATAACATTATATTTATCATTTTCTTTGACTAAAAAAAATGATTTTCTTTTTTTAGGTAGGTGCGCTAGCGTAGTCGTTTATTGTAGCATTATATCCCTTTTCCCCCTTTTTAAAAAATGTTTGTAAGACGCCTGAAATTTGTATAAGTTAGTTATATAAGTAGTTAAATAAGAATTGGTGAGACTTGAAAAATAGAAGAGGAGAGAGAAGATGGAAGAGGATTGCTTTGAAATAGAAGGAAAGGAGATAGAAGATGTTTGAGAGAAAGAGGATGATTTGTTCGCTGTAACGGAAGTTTTTTGAATGAAATTTGGAGCAACTGTATTAAGGTATTTTTTTTCATCTAGTTACAAAAAATAAATACTTATCACAACTTTTATTTTTTTTTATAGATGTTATTGGTATCTTGGACATCAAGTTTCATTTATTTATGTATTATACAAGCATATCTATTGGAAATGTAGAATGGCAGCTGTTATAACTACTTGGATGAATTATTAGAAACACCCAAGAAGTTTTGACATAATTTAAACTGGGAGAAGGCTCACAAATGACCAATTTATTCTAGAGTAGATACAGGACATTAAATTGACTTCAACATCGCAGATATCTCTCAAAAATGGTAAGTTTTTTTCACATTATTTTCTTTCCTATTAAAGTTTTTGGAAAGCTTGGAAGTTATGACATATTTTACATATAATGTGTATATTTCAATAACTTTAGGTGCAATATTTAATTTTAAATTTATTAGGAGATTTTTTTTATTCAAATCAACTTAATTTTGTATTTTGCGTATCTATATTGATATTACAATGTTTTCTTATTTATTTTAATTTTCTACATTGATTTAAATTAATATACTTATTAATTTTGCTTATTCTTTTATTTTTAGATATCTGTTCGAGCGATGTACTGGGCGTTAACAGTTGCTGTTACAAATCTGCAAATGAGTTAGTACTGTACATAAGTTGCAGGAATGCCAAGGAATTTTTTGAATAATTACTGTTGCTTTATGAAAATGGTAAGTTATTTTTATTTTTTTATTTTTAAGGTTACAATTTATGTATTTAACTACAAAATTGTAGGCTTTAAATTCAAAATAAAATAAGTTTGAGGTTGAAAATATATTAATATATATATTTTTTTCAATCTTTGTAGTTATTTACAAATTTGCATCAGACAATTTTAATTTTATTTAGTATGTTTTCTTTTTGTAAAAATCTATGAATATTCGACAATATTTTCAAGAGTTACTATTGCGTTTATTTTTCTAATATCTACCTAACATATTAAAAAAAACAATTTTTTTTATTCCAAAATGTATGAAGAAACTGACTATAAAAATTTACTTATTTATTTTTTGTATTTTTAGTAAGCAATACAAATTGGTATTAATGGACGTTTTGACAGCTGTTTCCAGTCCAAGTTCCAGTTTTAATGGAAAATCTTTAATGGACACAGAAATAAAATGCCATTTACTGGATTGACTTCAACACCTGTTGTCTTTTAATAATGGTAAGTTATGCCTCTCAACTTATTCTTATAAAATTTAAAAATCTTATAAAAAAATTAAATTTTCCATCGCTCTTTTGGTCCAATATTAACGTGTTCTATTTTTTTCTGTTTTTTTTTTTAACTAAAACAATAATAAGAATTATTAAAGGTAGGACAAAATAAAATACAGACACTGTATTACTGGTTGCATATAGCGATCTTGGAAAAAAATGCAGTTTTTAAATCTGCTTTTAATAATTATTAAAGTTTCCACTAAGATAAGCACAATAAAATTACGGTATGGTAAATATAAGTTGATTTTTTTTATTTTGATATTTTTAGTACAGCATATACCTTATTTATATTTTTTTCGATCGTTAAAACCGCAAATATTAATATAAAAATTATAATTATTTTTTATAGTTCTAAACAAGTTCTAAATATTAATATATTTTTTTTTTCGTTTTTAAAAATCTTTAAAAATTGATTCATTAAAAAATTACTTAATACTTTTTTTGAATTTTAGATATACAATGGGACAATTGGTGTTAGAAGTCAACAAGTAGTACTAATTGCAAATAATATATTATGGCGGACATCAAAAAGCTTTAAATGGAATGAAACTTGCAGAAAAAGACTCAGAAAGACCATTTAGGACGCAGAAAAAGACTCAGAAAGTCCATTTAGAACTGTACTTAATAGATGTTAGAGTGGATGCAGTCCTTCATCAATGGTAAGTTATTCAGGCGTCTCTATAAATGCAAAACCTGACAAGTCCATTGAAATCAATTTTACAGAATAGACTAAAAATTATTTAAAATATTATGAATAGTAGAAAGAATAATAAATCTACAGGGCTGAATTTATCTGGTGTATTATTTCATGAAAATATCTTGCATGAAAATGTAATTCAGAGTTTCTCTTGGGATAACGAATTAAATGGTGTATAGATCTCAATTTTCCAAAATGTGTCACTTGTCGACGTCATTTTAGACGTCTAGTTTATTTATTTTATTTTTTTATTAAATTTCTTTGACAATGTTGAAAATTATGATAAATTTAGTATGAACCTTTGAATAAGAAGACTAAGAAAGGAGCATATCAAAAATCTTAGGTCCACCGCGATGGGCGTCAAATATGGCCGACTTAAATTCCGGTTTATAAATTATTAAAATGTAAAACTATGATGTAGGGTAGACGTGGGGTAGACTCAATAATATGTTGTTTTATTTGACGTTGTGAATAAATGTTGATAGTTATTAAAATTGTTACAAAAATATATAATTCTATTAAAAATAGATAAGTTATAATAATTATTTATTAACACAAACATCCGATACGCTACTGAAGCAGGTAAATCTGGTAAATCAAATTGACGTATCTAAATTCTTTGACATCTAATCTTTGACAAGTTTTTAAAAATATAATTCCTTTGAATAAGAAGGCTAAGGAAGGAGCATATCAAAAATCTTAGGTCCACCGCAATGGGCCTCAAATATGGCCGACTTAAATTCCGGTTTATCAGTGCCGTTCTAATTTTATGTAAAAAATGTAAAACTATGATGTAGGGTAGATGTGGGGTAGACTCAATATTTTTTTTTATTTTGCGTTGTGAATAAAAGTTGGTAGATATTAAAATTGTTATAAAAATATAAAATTCTAATAAAAATAGATAAGTTATAATAATTATTTATAATCATTAACATACGATACGCTACTGAAGCAGGTAAGACAAATTGACGTATCTAAATTCTTTGACATCTAATCTTTGACAAGTAGTAAATAAAAGCAAAAATGAAAGAAAAAACATATAATTAGTTAATTTAAGCGAATTTCATAAATGATCGGTTTACTACACGTATGTATATTATATAGTCACTTACTAGCGAAAAGTTGTTCCATTATTTCACTCGATTTTTGCTGAGATCTACTACACGCTACACAACCAACTATTTTAGAGTCTTTTTCGATAAATCGTGATAGTGTCACTGTTAATTTAAGTTCTGCCACAATTTCCATCTAGTTTACTACCTTTATACAACTATCAGTAGTAGAATAAATAATAAATAACATAAAATAAGCTCTGTAAAGACTGACAAATCCATAAAATTTCAAAACAAATTCAAATGTGTCAAATGAATCGTCAAACAGAACTGTCAAGGATCCCCACCCTAGAGAGCTTTTTCCGCCCACCATGCATGAATACATGGATAGCATTATGCTCCTTCCTTAGTCTTCTTATTCAAAGGTATGAACAAACTGACGTCATAATTTTTTTTTATTATTTAATTTTTATTTGTACTTTTAGTGAGCTGAACAAATTGATGGTAATGGACATTTTGACAGCTGCTGTCACAACTCAACGAACAAGTTGCAGCTTTGAAGGAAAATTTTTGATTGGATACAGAAAAATGTCAGTCATTTCAGGACGTAAAGTTAATAGAACCAGGGTTGGGCTCGACATCTGTTGCCTTTTAATAATGGTAAGTTATTTTGATCATTTTATTTACAGAGATTTTCATACAACTGGTTCATTAAAAAAATTTCAAGGTATATATTTTTCTAAGTCTATAACTAGTTTAATTTAGACTAAATTTCATCTTAAAATACTTTTAATGAGCTAGTTACGTGAAATACCCTCTAATTATTTTTATGAATTGGCATTGATAAGCTTGAAAATTCTGTAGAATTTTAACTTTTTTTATTTTGGAAGCTAGAATTTTCATTGAAAAAAAAAGAAATTAGAAGGTTTTAACGGTTTTAATGATTTTTTTTTGTATATTATTTTTATCTATTTTTTAAATTTACAGGGTAATAACATAACATACATAATAACAATAAAATGTATTAAAACTTGACAGGAAAGCCTATAATTTGTTTTTTTTAACGAATGTTCTAGCTCAAAAAATAAAGAAGTTAATTGAACAATGCTAAGAGTGTATTACTGGTTGCATAGCCTTTTTTTAATTATTAAAGTTATGAGTTACCACCAAAATAAATGTAATAATTTACAAGTTATTGCTAAATATTTTTTATATATGTATATCTAGTAAATTAGATCTTTAATTTTTTGGTCATTAATAACTCGCTATTACTTTCATATCAAGGAAATTTACAATTTTTATATTATTTCTGAAGTTATCAATAAAAGCCTTTCTTTTAATTTTATATAACTCTTTATAACTTCTTCAAATTAATATTAACAAAATGCTATTCAAAACTATTTGATTTAAAATTACAGACGATATATTAATGTTCCCACTAGAATAAACGCAATAAATATCTATGTCGTATTCTCATAGTGTATTCCGTCTTTTGATGAAGAGCCTAGTCACTTAATGAAAAAAACTAACCCAACAACATAACTAGCCTGCTAACCTAACCGACGCTTCATGAAGTGACTAGGATCTTCACGAAAAGACGGAATACACTATGCGACTACGACATATACATTATTTTAAGAAATATAATTTTAATTAATCTTTTTTGTTTTGTTTTTATTAATCTTGTTTTCAGAAATCTTCCAAAATTAGTATAGTAAAAATTTACTTAAAATTTTTTTGGAATTTTAGGTATACGCTGGGACAGTTGCTGTTAAAAATCCACAAGCCGTACTATCTGCAAATATTATGGTGGACATCAAAAAGCTTTAAATGGAATGAAACTTGCAGGAAAAGACTCAGAAAGACCATTTAGAACTGTACTTAATAGCTGTTGAAAAGTGATCGCAGTCCTTTATCAATGGTAAGTTATTTTTCTCTTTTTGCTTACTAAATTTCATCAACAAGTTTTAAAATTATGATAAGTTTTCATAATATTCAACCTGCACAGGTCTCTGAGGTCAACGTCTATTCCTACATATATGTCATTTATTAAAAATTGATATAAAAACTTGTCAAAAATAATATTTAAATGAAAAAAAGGAAAAAGGTTTCAAACATACTAATTATTATTCAAACGTGAAAACCTTAATTTAAAAAAATATGAGCTCTGAATTTTTTTAACATTTCATTCTTTCATTTTTATAAATTTTTATACCAATTTCTTGTAATTTTTACATAGATCGTTTTATTCCTTTTTTAATATTATTTTTATTTTATTTTTTAGATATCTCTGCATTTTCTTAACAATGGATATCAACAGTTTCTCCTACTCCTCACTTTCCTCTTTCGCTCAACATAAAGCAGACTCAATACTCCTCAATGCCTCACCAAGGTTCGTTAGCTTCATTAATAATGTTATTGTTTCAATAAATTTGTTTATTGGTTTTTATCTTCTTACTATTTAATTATATCAGGCGTCATTTTAATGTTAATTTTTTGTAAAATTTTGATAATCTGGATAGAAACCTTTTTTTTTCTTAAGCTTTTGCAATATAAAACACTAGTTAAGAGCAATACACTTTATTTTATGAATAGGGCCATTGTCTCTGTTGATATTGTCTTTATATTTATGCTTTGTGTTGCCTCTAGGTTGAGGGATGTTTGATTAATTTTAAATCATTCAAATCAATGCAATAATCTTTATGGAGGATATGTTGAGCAACATGATACTAATCTGTTATAATTTTTCATCTCAAGCTTTTTTTCAATCTCACCTATCTTATATTTACTTCCATTAGTTCAATCATTAAATTGTTATTAAATAACTATAATTTGTATTCTGGATTTCGTCAAAGGTATTTTTAATAGTATTAAAAAACAATCTTTATAGGCTTGTATCATTTCCAATTTATTTTTATCTTGTATTATTTATATTTTCCTAAGCTTCTCTAAGTTTATTCCATATTATCAAAATTATAATTTTTATACTTGCGCAGCTGCGTCACTATAGCCCTATGAACACAAGTATTATTTTGGTTTTAAAGTTTACGTTTTTTAATATTTCATTTATTGTATTAACGCAAAACTAAATTTTATAGAATTTAACTAACTATATCTTCAACCGGATGATAATTTAATAGTTAATGGTCAATTTAATATTTTTTCATAAAAATTAAACGTGATTATTGAATACCAATGTCAAGCCAGTAGAAATGATTTATTAGTGTTTTTTTTTAAATAATTTTTTTACTAAATCAATTTTGGATACTTGTGTTCTTATAGTTTTTTTTTTGCTTTTAAGAATTATTTTTGGTACCCAAACACAGATGTTTTTAATCAATTTATATGATTTTAAAACATATAATATGTTTATATCTATTTTGTACTTAAATTTTAGTGATAAAGTTTGTTTCTTTAACACAGAGAGCAATGCACTTCATGCATTTTTTTTTATGTGCAGAATTCTCTTTATATACAGTTTGCCCTCAGAACTTATTAACCTTCTCATAAAAAATACATTCCTTATAAAAATATTTTTCTTTTTAATATTTTCATTTTAATTTTTTTAACAAATATATTGTGGGCACACATTTTAAAATTATTTTTCGTAGATATACTGTGCGATTCAAGTTTATTTATACTAAAATTGTATTTTTTTAAATGCAATGTTTTTTTAATGTATGTACTAGTTAATATACCACTGTAATCCAATCAAAATTGCATAAATTAATTATTTTAGAAGAGTTCAATTATAAATAAATACATGAATTTTAACCTTTAGTATTACTTGTTGCCTAATCGAATCTTATGTAATGTTGTGGTAATGTTCTTATTATTTAAAAAAATCTTATTTCCAGTAGTAATTTTTCTCTCTCATCTCTCAGCTTTAGTATTTAAAATGTCTCTATCTTGTCATATTTATTTAACACATCTATTAGACCTCTACTCAAACTTTATCTCCTAAAATTTATGAATTTTACATATGAAAATGGTTTGCTAGTGTATATAATATTAAGTCATAATATAAAAATGAACATTTGTATATACATATTTGTTAAATATATAATTTTAAGATAAAATTCATTTTAAGATAAAAATCATTTGGTCCTTCAACATTTAAAATCTTTTGACATAGATTTCATTCCACTTAAATGTCACAAAAATATATATTTTGATACCAATTTTGTATGTTATTTGGTGTATTAGAATTTTATAAATATTGTTTTTAATATTTTGTTAATAATAGTTGTCTCTGAAAATAGTGATCTATAGCTTACCTTTGCTATCTGTAATAGGAAATATTTCTAAATATTTTTTGTTGAAAATAAATATTACTTTATAACATTTATTAAGCAAAATAAATTTGAAGATCTCTATTATTATCAAAGAGATATCATTAAAGTGTTTCAATACAATATCTTTTTTTTCAAACGTCACAAAACTATTAATTTTTGTGACATGATGATGACAACATAGATTGACATATTTATAAAAAAATATTTTTTACGCTTAAACACAAAAGTGCAAAAATTATTATTAAACTGACATTAAGTGCCAAATTTAACAAGCGTAGCCATATAGTTTCTCGATATACAGGGTTGTTCACCACATACGACACGGAGTATTGTAGCTAAACGATGAGATTTTTACAAATTGTAAGTTTTGGGTTCGATGAAGAACTATTAGAGGTACAATTTAAAAATAATTTTACAAGATACAGAGTGTCCCAAATAAGTAAAAAATATCAAAGTTGTATTTTTTTTAATGGAACACCCTGTATATTATTACATTTTTAGTTTCTACGATTAAAATAAAGGTAAATTTGATTAAGGTTTATTATACTTAAACCTTACCGTTAATATTTTCAATTTTGTGAAATTGCAGTAAAAATTTTAAGGCTTCATTTCTCCAAGGGTATCAAAGTTTTTAATACTAAATATTTACTGAAGTTTATTTACTGATCAGTTATTGTGTTGCAATAATAAAAATAATACTACCTTATACAGAGTGTCTAAAAATTTATTTTAAATAATTATTAGCTTCAAACGGCAATAACTTGTTTAATTTAAATGGAACACCCTGTATATTTTACGAAAATCAGATGCACAATTTAATTGTCTATCAAATTGTATTATACCATTTTTTACCTATCTCTTTAAGTTTCCGTAGAAAATGCATTTTCTTGTAATTTAGAACTTATTTATCAATATACCCATGGACTATTGACATTTTAGATTATTTTTAAAGATGTACCAAATTTTTAAAGAGTACAAATATTAATATTGTCGATATAATTCGTTTATTTCATTAAAAAATAAAAAAAAACTGTTTAAATATTTGTTAAAGAGGATCAGTTAATATGATTCCAGTATTCAAACAACATTAACTGACTGTTTGCTTTGATTAATAATAATTGCTCCAAATACTAAAAAACTGAATTTTGTATGGGCATTAGACAGTGTGATAAAAAGTAACACCTTAAAAATGATATTTCATTTTTTAATAAATGCTTATTTATAACTACAGAGACTTTAATTTGATAACTTATTATTATATTGATTTCTGACTCAAATCCACATTTATTTATAATAATTTAATAACGAACACAATTAAGTATGTAATTAATTAGTATATGGGCGCAAATAATGGTGTTATATTTAATTAATGGTATACTCTTTTATAAAGATTTAAATAGTTTTCTTTTTGCATACAAATGGGCTAGTAATATTATCGTTTTGCTAAAAACGATAATATTACTAGTCTGTACATTTTGTACATTTGTTGCTTTAAAAACAATCTAAAATGTCAATATTCCATTGATATATTGATAAATGAGGTCTAAATTATAAGAAAATGCATTTTATACGAAAACTTGAAGGGATAGGTAAAAAATGGTATAATACAATTTGATAGACAATTTAATTGTGCATCTGATTCTCCTAAAATATACAGGGCATTCCATTTAAATTAAAGAAGTTATTGCCGTTTGAAGCTAATAATTATTTAAAATAAATTTTTAGACACTCTGTATAAGGTAGTATTATTTTTATTATTGCAACACAATAACTGATCAATAAATAAACCTCATTAAATATTTAGTATTAAAAACATTGATACCCTTGGAGAAATGAAGCTTTAAAATTTTTACTGCAATTTCACAAAATTGAAAATATTTCAAAAACGGTAAGGTTTAAGTATAATAAACCTTAATCAAATTTACCTTTATTTTAATCGTAGAAACTAAAAATGTAATAATATACAGGGTGTTCCATTTCAAAAAATACAACTTTGATATTTTTTATTTATTTGGGACACTCTGTATCTAGTAAAAATATTTTTAAATTGTAGCTCTAATAGTCCTTCAACGAACCCCAAACTTACAATTTGTAAAAATCTCATCGTTTAGCTACAATACTCCGTGTCGTATGTGGTGAACAACCCTGTATAATTACAACATATTACTTTTAAATATTTTTATATTTTTTGCAACGTTTGAAATTGTTTAAAACATTATATTTGACGTTTGAAAAAAGAACATGTTCTGTTCGGAGTAAAAATGACTTTTAATGTCTCGCCGCAAAAAGTATAATTTTTACTCCTAATAAAACAATATACCGTATGATCGAAAAAAAAACGGCGTCCAGTTGGCTTGGAAATGAACATTAATTACATTTCCCATATAATTTTATATATATAAAATGACAGCGAACTTCATTTCATAGCCATTGCCGACGCCATTTTTAGTCGATAATATTGTACTATTTCTGTACAAATGTTATTATCTGTTGTAGTTGCTGAATTTTTGTCATAAAAATATTTTGTATACATCTATATTTTGTAAGCGTTTTAGTAGAGATTCCGAGCACTACGTTTACTGAGATGTTATGTTTAGAGTCATTTCTTTTTTCATTTTAAATATTTTTTTGTCGTGTCTAATAATTAATCAGCTAATTAAGAATTTTTTTAGTAGGTAAAAAAGAATAATTTATATTAACACAGAGTATGGGGCCACTCTTGGGTTCCAAAAATAATCATGTTAGGTCTTCAGTTTGAGATTTTCACTGATTTTTTTTTATAAATCATACGGGTTACAGTAGACCATATTTTAAAGCCAGTTCGTAGATATACACAGGGTGTTTTTAATATATTTTTGCTTTATATTGGTAGTAGATATAAACAAGGGTAGTAGGTATTTAAATGAAATGTTATTCAAATTTTAATTCTATTGATATTTTAGATTTTTCCTGTAGATTTTTAAAGCTTTCACAAATTTATAAAGTCAAATTTTTTTTTAATTGAAAATATTTTATATAACAGAAGATCAAAACAAATTATACTAAAATACTTTATATGTTGCTAACTAAATATAATATAATGTCTTTCTCTGCTATTTAAATAAAACACCCTTAATTTTATAATAATATACTCCAGATATTTGAAAGTAGTAAGTAATTACTACTTCAAATTACTCAACACAAATAAATTACATTAAATAACATTCTTATGAGCTGATACTGTTGTTTTGTATGCATCTGACAAGCTTTTTCTGGAATAATTTTTTTAATTAGCA